AAAAAAAAAATAATAAGATCGAAACATTTGTAGATATAAATGAATTCTTTCTCTCTCTCTCTCTCTTTCTCTCCATCGCAAAGAAATCGCATTCGTTAAAGTTTCGTTTAAGATTTAAATTGAGACTCCGTTTCAAATAGAGAGTAAAAACGCGATTATTAAAAAAAAGTAATAATAAAATCGAAACAATTCTTTCTCTCCGTCGCAAAGAAGACAAACACTGCAACATTCGTGACGAACGTGACACAAAAGGCTATCCGATTCGTAATTCCAGTATCCGCTCGTTAACGAATTCCTCGAAACACGGTATCCCTTCCCGTGGCGTTGATTATATTTAACAATGCGCCAGCCTCATTGCGCTCTGCAACGCCTGGCGTTCTGCGTTTTCGCGATTATAATGATAATCATCGACGCCGCCATCGCCCCTATCGATCGGGAAATATACGTTCCCGATAATTCGCGTAATCCATATCCGCGCAATTAATTATCGTCCGTTGATACGTTGTAACAAGCCATCGTTGCTTGTTCCTCGCTTGGATTACAATTCTGCCCGCGTGTTCGATCCCGTTGCAGAGAGGGAGAGGATTGGAACGCTTCGGGGGTCGCGTGTCCCGAAATCTGGACATCGTTTTTTTATTATCTCGCAATGACGAGAGATCGATCGTTTCGATGTAAATTTTCTGTCAGTTCTTCTTTCTTTCTTTTTTTTTTTTGAGTAGTAATTTCAGTTATACGATTGATTGAACGAAGAGTGCTTTGGATAATTATTTCGATTGGAATAATAAAGCTTCTTAAAGGGATTCTACAAGGTGGTGTTAAATAAAAAATGATAGCTAAGAAATTCTTCTGGATTACGATCTGAAGGGGTTGCAAAATTTTTAAGAATTGACAATATGATAATACGTTTTAATAGATAAAAGAATCTTTTTTTTTTTTAAGGGCAGAGGTCGAAATATTTTCGTAAAATCGCTTTTGTCGCTTTTCCATTGTGAATGAAAGTGAATAATAAAATTCGAAAATCCTTTGACTAAAATTTTAACAAGACAAGAATTCTTTGTAGGGACATCAGTTTTCGATCTCCATATCCTTTTCTACCTTTTCTGCATATCGTCAGCGAGCAAAATCTTTTTCCGCTATCGTCGCGTAAGGAAGGCAATAACGTTTTTACGAGCCGCCAAACATTTATTGCCAGCTCTCTCTCCCTCTCTCCGTTCCCCGGTTTATCATCTCGTTCCTTCGTTTAATACTCCCCGCTTAAGGAACAGCTTCTGTATATATTTTTCGCGGCTGTATATCTTCCGATTAGACGTGTAACGATGCTGCCAGCCAACCGACGAGTTCATCAATTTACCTTCTTTTTCTTTTAAAAACCAGGCTGATTCGCCTGATTAATTGGTTGAATCACCGGCTAATGAAACGTTTGCCTCGCTTGTTCGAAGGAGTTATCGGTAAAAGGATAACTTTTCCCATAATTCTTTCACAAATCGTTTAATAGATTGAAATATCTACGAATTTTGTTTGTCGTCGAAATTGTTATTTTTTTTTTCTTTTTTTCTAGCTACGTTATATACTTATTTTATATTAATCTTATCTCTTGTATTAATTATTAATTTTGATGATTATTTTGACGATTAAAAAGATCGATTAATTCGAATCCTCTCCCAAGATAATAAATTAAATCTTCCAAAGACGCCAAATTTCCTAATCTCGCTCCCCAATCCCCCGTAATACGTAACAACCGCATAACGCAAACAAAACTTACGCGTTCACGCCTCCCACGTTGCCACGTTTCGATCGTATATACCGAAGCGAGTTAAATTAACTCGTGAAAAAGCTAATTCCAACGCGTCTCGAATATATATATATATATATATATATTAAAAAAAAGGAGAAAAAAGAGCGACTTGCAGGGACTTTGTTTCACCTCCATTACCCCTCCCCTCTCTCCATCTCCCTTGGCACGAGCGACCGCTAATATCGCCGTATAATCTTGTCGCTCCGCTCCGAATAAATAACCCGCGGCGAGCCTAATAAAATTTTAGCCGGCGGTTAAATTTTCGTCGGCCAATCTATCCTACAATTTGCCCGTTCCACGGCGACAGAACATT